CCGAATTGGCCTGGAAGGGCCAACGGTACCAAAATAAAGTCGGTGCACCCAATGGCAGTGCCCCTGTTATCTGGAATCTCCACTGATGTTGGAGCACCTTGGTGGAAGTCGCTATTGTTCCATGAGACTTTGGTTCATGAAACGGCATGTTCCTGCCAGGAATATGCTCAGTTTTCGTCAATGCTAGGCACAGTTTTCGACTCTGCTCCCGCACAACGCTACGAAAGGAAAAACACTCACCACCACACAGGTGGGCTGCAAACTTCAAGTTGCCGCCATCACATCATAATCGACATCGTCCCTTTGGCAGGGAGAATGTTGCGGATGCCGTTTATGCCGCACTCCCAACTCGAGAGAATATACGTGCGGTGTACCATTGTGTCTTCTCACATGTTTGCGAGGGGAATAGTGGTCGTACAGCATCTGTCTGGCAGCTCGCCAACGCCGTGCATAATTGTATTGTGGCATAGGTGTCGATGAATAATAACTCTACGGATTAGCACTTGACACATTTCTTCATTATCTATGCATGATGACCCAAAACTCAGTGGTTTTGGTGGTACATGGAAGCAACTGAGCAACAAACTCAATAGGCAAAGTTCGATTAAACTTCAAATGGGCTCATTTTCAAGAGGTTTGGTAGATAAAATTTAGGTGGAATTAAAATCTGCTGCTGCAGAGTTTAATTGCTTTTCTCCAGCCCTCGAAATGTCGAAGCAAGGGCCAAAATGTTGCCGTGCAGTGCACTGAGTTGCGTTCATAACATCATGCCCAAAGTTTTGACGTAAATCTGGTCGCTCAACAGCTGTAACCAAACTGAGCATCGACACATGGATTGCAAACAAGCTTGGGAACTACGAATATGGTTAATTTTAGTAATTAGGAAGAACATGCTTAGTACTCAGTGTTTCTATTTAGGACCTAAAATGCATCTAAAAATACAGCAGAATTCTTCGCAATTGCAGCTTAGTGGCATGTAAATTCAAAGAGTTAGTGTCCATGTCCAAGCAGCCAATAACGCCAATAACGTCATTGGTTACTACCTCCACAGCAGCGATTATTGCATGAGAAAAGCTCTCGTTCTGTGCCCACATATTTGTTTCTTGCAAGAGCATCAGGGTGGCATATATCACCCTCTTGCAAGTGCTTGAGCTAGAGCGCAGGGGGAAAATTGCAACGCCAACGACAGGTAAGTTCAGTCGGTCAGTATCCCACCAATCCACGGTGCAGCTCATTCAAACGCGTTACATCCTCTGTCGCACCGTCTGGCATGTTTCCACGGCACACAGCGAAACCAGATCCAGTAATGCCGGCCCGGTGGGAACATTGGCGCTCACAGCCTTCCGTCATGACAATGGCTCAGTGCACGCACATGTGCGCGTGCTATACATACCCCGCTCCACCACCAATCCACGAAGTGCTTTGCTACCGTTTTATGGATCTCCTTCATTTCCACTTGCTCCTCGCTTCATCTACAGCGTTCCCAATCGTTGGTGTCGGGACGTGCGGATCGGATGTCCCCGGGATGTAGGCCGCAGGTCGTGGCCGCTGCTTCGCCAGGTGCAATTCCATTTCCTTTCCGAAATACGCGCGCATTATTGAGTATTTTGAGTGAGAGCCAGCCGTGTCTCAAGCTCATTTAAAGCATTGCCAAACCGATTGTGCCTGTGAGTTTGAAGCACACAGTTACAAGTTCCAGTCAGTCCGTTGAGTACTGCGGATTTGGCAGCACGTGGAGGGCAATGATTTCCAGCATCGTCAACGCTGGACGGCGGTTTTCTAAGATGACCACTCAAACATGATCGAGGGTGTATTCGATGACAAGTGCTGGTCGTCGCCCTTCATCTTGAAAGACGGTAGTGACTTGGCTTGCCACTTGTAGGCACGGGAGAGGCTGAAAGCCGTGGCGGCATTCACTGGATGCGGAATTCACATGCGCGTCTCGCACCTAGGAACCAGTTTTCGGGTAACTCCGCAGGCGTTAGGCCTCACTATTCTTCCTCGAGAACCAATGATCGAGGTGTTTGAGACTCAACCTTTGCGATATTGAGGTACTTTTCCTACTGAAAGACAGCTTTTGTCATCAAATTGTTCTTCAAATATAGGAAATATAGGAAATTAATATGGTACAAAAGAAGTGTTAATTGTGCTATTATTCAATGCATATCATTACACGAGATAGCCATGCTCTTCCTATTTTGAAGCGCAAGTCTCCATCCATTTTTGGCTGAAATCCACAGCGCTGTGGATTTCAGCCAAAAATCCGCTTGCTGGCACTGCACCCCAAAATCCGTAATCCAACGGTTCCCAAACTTGTGGAAGAGATTGCCGATATAAATATCTTGAAAGCAGCGCCGCTGAAAGAAGGCGACCAAAGACCGAGGCAAGGCAATTCAACCGCAAGAACATTGCACCAATTCCTTGGACAGCAAGTGACCGCTGCCGGATTGCGATTAATCTCCAATATTGGAGAACGACCACACACAACCTTGCCGTTGTCACCAGCTGACACCTCGTAGGTAGATCCTTGCTGCGCACGGCGCTTTCGGCGTTCAAGCTGCCAGTCTCCTCCTCTCTTCCAGACGAAACTTCAGGTGTCACTGTCCTGCAGTACTTTAAGCCCTTCAGCAGTGCCTGACGCAACCTAGCAGTACTGTAAGTCCCGCAAAGCGTCCCGTGCGCTTCCCCAAACATGTCTACATATGCCCACCAAGCGTGGTTCGGTTCTCTTTATCCCATATGCGCTATGTAGGGGGGCAGCCTGGCCACCTGCTTAAGCGGGTGACCAGAAGCAGCCGGTGTGAGGGGTACCCTGGCCGCCGGTGTAGGCATTGCCCTAGACGCCAGGGTAGGGGTACCCTACATCCGGTATACCAGGGTCACACTGGCTTTTTGGTGCTGAAATCGCAGGCGCTGGTGCCTGTGGCAGTGAAATAGATTACTACAGAATTGTGACAAGGTCCAGCTGGTCGCTAAGCCTGCCCGGTCGCCATCCAAGTGGTCGCTAAGCCTGGGCCCCTTCTGGAATGGAAAACATCATGAACAATAACAACGAACAATTCGGACGGCCCACCATCTATCAATGGATGAGAGGGCACGTTATTTTTAACGTCGTTGCACTGTTACGGCTGGAACTGATTGAGTGTAATTAATAATTAACTAATAACTGAATGCATGAAATGATGATGAAGCACTAGCAATTGCATTAAGGATGTTGATGAACGGACTGAACATAAAGGACAGAACTTCTGTTGTCCTTTTGCCTTGGCTGTAAACCGTTGCCATGGACTCGACGTACAATTCCCGTTCAGGGATCGCCAACCCCTCGATCCCTTCGTCAGCACCAATTCATTGGATAGCAAAGTAGCCGCTGTTGACGATTGCTGACAGCGTGGCGTTGGGTCCGTGTTGAACACGGCGGATGCCCAGTACATTCAAGCCGTCAGCGCCTTCATCCTATCGAATCGACAGACTCGAGTGTCCGACAGCTGGCCGGCAGTTATCCGTGTTGCACACGGCGCAGGCCATCCACATTTCGGCTGCCCGCCTCTTGCTCGCGGTGCCTTTGCGCCTATCGCCTTCCCTGCGCCCAGAGCCCGCTTTAGAAGCAAAGGTGAGGCGAGATTCCTCTCTGCGGGTGCACCGGTCACCCTCTTCCGCCCGATGTGCGCATCTGCCAAGGGGCTGATAGGGACAGATGGGCAGGATTCAACAGGTTCTGAGGCGCGACTCTTCGTCCCATCTTGCTGTCTGACGACGGGGTTCGCACCACGCGGTGTTTGGGGACAAAAGCAGCGCTGCCTGGACGATCGCCGCTAGCATGGATGCCCAGGGCAGTGGAGATGGCTGCACAAAAGAGCTTGCGCCTGTAGGGGATGGGCCAGGCAGCTCCTGCAGATCAACACACCACCGCCGCCACTACCACCCGTCGTCGAAGTGCGGTGTCTTGCTAACACCAACGTCGACGTACGTCGACGCGTGGAGGAACGGATCCAGCCCTGTGCGCAGCAAATCTGTGCGGTCCAGCGCGGAGGGAATTGTGAAATGCTTGTGTCCAGAGGACTTGCCAGGAATCCGTGCGGCTCCTCTGTGGGACTTTTGCGGCGCCACCGACTTTGTCGCAGGCAGCGTGCTAGGGCCGAGCCCGCTGGAGCGGGGCTTGGCGTATCCAGGCGCCCCGCGATTAACGGCATTGTTAGAATCATTATATTGATTGACACAGAATGAAACATGCAAATGTGGCTTGGAATATTGGGCACTGAATTCACAGACAGATTCTCTGGAAAGGGTGACGTCATTGCAAGTGCGATGCTTGAACGATGATGCACTCTGCTGCTGTGCTCAGGTGGAGGATGCTCGTCAACGTGGTCATTGGAGGCACAATCGCTGCCGTGGCGGCCCCCGCAGCAATATGGCTTCTTGGCTTCAAAGCAGCCGGCGTTGCCGCCGGCTCATATGCCGCAGCCTGGCAGGCGAGCATTGGGAATGTTGCAGCGGGTTCGCTTTTTGCTACTCTACAGTCTGCAGGTGTGTTCAAGCTACATATGCCACAGGTTGTCAACATGCCAAGGCTTGCCGTGTAAGACGCTTAGCGTCTTGCATCGGTGCTTGGAAATTGTCAGCCTGACCTCTCAGAAGCTGCCCATGGCTGAAAATGACTGCTTGGTCTGTGCAACGCATGCTAACTAGGCTATAGGCTGTTAGCGCACGACTTGCAACCGACTTGCAAACGACTTGCACGACTTGCAATATTAGCACGTTGAGTGATGATAAATTTCCTTTGTTGACACTCTCGAAAACAGGAAATTTTATTGGCGATTGGTCCACGTATGCCACTCTGCATGACTCAATCCTCACTGCATCACAATGGACAATGTATCACAATCGACATGCGCAAAAAGGGCCAATTGTGGTCCGGGAGTGCTGGACCATATCAATTTTAGCATGCAATGTAGCATTTCGTGAAATGCGCTGATGTATTTCGATCTATGGTGCATCAGGAGCGGCAGGCTTGGCCTGTACAACGAAGGTAATACTCGCCGGAGCAGGAGCAGTGGTGGCTGCCGCAACGGGCAGAGGCTAGCGCCATGGGAGGACACGCTCAAGGCCCTGAAGATGACGCCTAATGCTAGCCGCGCGGCGCCGTGCGGACAGCCGGTTGTCGTTGGCGCGTCTACTGCAGACTATTTTTTGTGACTTGAGGGCGCCCCGCCCCGGCGCTGCGAATGTAAGGACAATCTGTTTCCGAATGGTGGGCACACGAGGGTCCAAAAAAGCTCGGGGTGCTGCTGCCAGGGCTGCTCCATTGCGGGTATTTGCAGTACTGAACCATGGATTTATTGAGAAGGCATGTTCGCATCGCCGCAGTTGATGTTCAGGGATTCCAATGGGTTGGCGATCCATTGGAATGTAGCGTTTGCGAATTTGCGCTGCTGCTCCTTGCAATGGAGCAACTGACGTCTCCAAGACCGAATGTGGTGCCGAGAGAATTTGCACCTGTTTCTGCATGAAGAGCATGGATTCGCCCGCTGGCGCTGTGAATCGTTAGAGTTACCTATCAGCTGCCGTGCATGCGGATTTCCATATCCGCCAAAGAGAACTTTTGCGTCTGCCTGACATTTGCCCACGAGCCCTCATAGGCAAAAACTCTTTCCCTTGACAGAATTCGTACAAGCGTTCTGGAAAATGTCGAAGACCTAACGCAAATCAGACAAATTTGCAGGAAGGATACACCTAAATACTAAGAACTGCCCGATGTTCGAAAACTATGTTGCCTTATTTGTATCGAGTTTTCTATTAACTCTTGCATCATTGTCTGTATTTATTGTGTCCCATAATAATTGTTTTATACATCGAAGCATATCTTTGGTGAGCTATCTCCTATACCTTCGGTGGATTTTTTCTCTACCGTGAACTTCAGTTTTCAATAGAATTCTAAAAAGCTCGTGTCTGCGATTTTGGAGTGTACAGTTCAAAAGTTCAATTAAATCCAAAAAGCACTGAGGATTTAGAATTACCTGGTGGCAAGGAGCCTGAAGCCAGAAAGAAAACCACGAATTGTTGGCGTGGCTGCAGAAACGGGGTCTTGTCGCTGCTGCTGGGTGCGCAGCTTTAGGGCAAGGAAACAGAGCCGTCTAACAAAGTATCCGAGCTGTTCAGACGCAAGGTCGGTGTGGGGCTTGCGAAAAGCGCCAAGCGTGCTAAAAAATGTGCTCTGAAGGGCCTCAGGGTCATCAGGCTCGCTGTCGCGTTCGGCTGCAATTTATGGTGACGCAGTGGATTGCAGAAACGCCTGTGTCACAAATTCCTGGACGGGGAATGTTCGATATCCATCAATGTGCATCGATCCATCGTTGTGCAGTGAGCATGGGGTGTAGCATGCGCGATTTGCAGGAAGGATTCAGTAGAAAAGACACGCACATATGTGTTATATGGGCTATATGGGTTTTGCATCACTTCAGATTCCAGGATTGTAAGAATTTGCCATGGGACCTTGTGGGGGGCTGCAAACGAGCACTGTAAATGCGTGGGTATTTTCTTTTGGCACAACCGAAAGGACGGAGATCTGCATAAAAAAATTGTTTAATTATGTGCATGCCCTCAGCAGGCTCAAATCATCAGGTTCAGCAGCAAAAAGATGCAAAGCAACGGGCTTGCAACGCTTATTGCATCTGTGATCCTTTTGTCAAGACGCAATTACTCTCTTGCATCCTGTGGGCGATGATAGAAGTGCGATTATGTACACAATGCACAGTCAGTCTGCCAGAGCCTTCCTCCTAAAGGATTCGATAGCTATCGAATAGACAGACTTAAGCGACGCTGCCTGGCAGTCCCTCCAGTGACCTGTGTTGCGCACGTCGCACAACCAGCACCTTTTACTCTGCTTGCCCCTTGCTCGCGGTACCTTTGCCAGAGGCTGTTTTGGAAGCGAGCCACGAAGGCAGGAGGTGAGTTTAAACTGAGCAAATTTCCTCTCTCCCCATTCACCAGCGTCCTCATCTCCGAGGTCCTGTTGCCAATCGCACTGCCAAAGTTTCGCCGCGTGCCCCTCCGGTTGCACGAAGGGATACCACTTGGCCCTGATCGTGCGCACATGCCAAGGACACATGCCTGCATCTGTCGAGCGGCTTTCCGGATGCCATACCCGCCATTCTGGAATCTATTAAAATTGCCTTCCATGAGGCAATTGGCGATGGCAGCGCGCCAGGCGTCTATCACCGTCGTTCCTGTGCGCTGCGTCTTCTATATAGAGTCACGAACTGCTGTCCTGAGATAGCTTCCCCCACACTAGGAAAACAAGGTCCAAATAAAGCGTGTTCAAATGCGTACAAAGTTTACGAGCACGGTGTGCTTCCGTGTTTCCAGCACGCAAAACGCTGAAGAAATGCACTACAGATGTGTACGCAAAATGTGCTGTTTGATCCTCTTTCTGTTAGTACCAGTTGTTGAGTCGATTGATTCGTTTCAGTTGGCGTGTTTCACTAGGCACAAAGGACCAAACTTTGTACTATTGCAGACATGTGAGTACCACATTTTACTGTTTTCACAATCTGGGGCTTTGTTTTCTGTCAACCATATTCGCGGCTTGCGACTCTTCAGGCCATCTCCCATCGGTCAAATGCGGCTACCCGCGGCAGGGTTGCCTTCATGGGCCAAATTTTCAGACCACATCGCCCTCTGCACAAGGAGAATGAGACCGAGGTGCTGGCAACTCCATTTGATGCACAGATTCAAGCAGGAAAGGAAGCAAAGGAAAGATAGATCTTTGTGAGATCTCACACTGGGCATATCAGCAGTGCTGGCGATACCAGTGGTGAGGCGAATTGGCCTGGAATGGCCAACACTACCAAAACAAAGTCGGTGCACCCAATGGTAGTGCTCCTGCTATCTGGAATCTCTACTGATGTTGGAGCACCTTGGTGGAAATCGCTATTGTTCCGTGAGCGTTTGGTTCATGAACCGGCATGCTCCTGCCACGGATATTCTCAGTTTTCGTCAGTGCTAGGCACAGCTTTTGACTCTGCTCCCGCACAACGCTACGACAGAAAAAATGCTCACCACCAGATAGGGCGTCTCGAACAAACTCAATGTAAAAAAAGGCTGCACAGCATCCAGGTAATGAACAACATTCTGGCCGACAACCGCCTCAGAGCCTACGTTGAAACCAAGGATCCCTGACAGGTGGGCTGCAAACTTCAAGTCGCCGCCATCACACCATCGGTGATCGATGATGATCGACGTCGTCCCTTTGGCAGGGAGAATGTCGCGGATGCCGTTTATGCCGCACTCCCAACTCGAGAGAATATACGTGCGGTGTACCATTGTGTCTTCTCACATGTTTGCGAGGGGAATAGTGGCCGTACAGCATTTGTCTGGCAGTTCGCCAATGCTGTGCATAATTGTATTGTTGTATAGGTGTCGATGAATAATAACACTGCGGAATAACACTTGTCACATTTTCCTCATTATTTATGCATAGTGACCCAAAAATCGGTGGTCTGGTGGTACATGCAAGTAACTGAGCTACAAACTCAATAGGCAAAACTCGATTAAACTTCGAATGGGCTAATTTTCAAGAGGCTTGGTAGATACAATTTAGATGGAATTTAAATCTGTTGCTGCAGAGTTTGCCTGCTTTTCTCCAGCCCTCTATGTGTCAGAGCAAGGGCCAAAATGTTGCCGTTCAGTGTCCTGAGATGGGTTCATAACATCATGCCAAAAAATTTTGACGTAATGCTGGTCGCTCAACAGTTGTAACCAAACAGAGCATCGACACATGGATTGCAAACAAACTTGGGAGTTACGGGTATGGTTAAAGTTAGTAATAAGGAAGAACACGCTTAGTACTCAGTCCTTCTATTTAGGACATTAAATTCATTTAAAAAATACAACAGAATCCTTGGCAATTGCAGCTTAATGGCATGCCAATTCAGTGTCCATGTCCAAGCAGCCCAAAACGTCATTGACTACTACCTTCACAGCAGCGACTATTGCATAGGCAAAACTCTCATGCTCTACACGCACATTTGTTTCTTGCAGCAGCATCAGGGTTGCAGCTATACCACTGTTGCAAGGGCTTGAACTAGAGCGCAGGGGGAGAATTGCAACGCCGACGACATTTAAGTTCAGTCGGTCAGTATCCCACCAATCCATGGCGCAGCTCATCATCATCATCATCAAAATCCATGGATTACATTTATCACAAAATTATCACAAAATGACAAAACACAGCCCGTGCACCTAGTAGGCGGTGATGGGAGTGAAAACCAAGCAGATATTGTGTTCGGAATCGATTATTCATGGTCCCATATCACCATTCCCTAGTGACGCAGCTCATGCAAACGTGCTACAGCCTCTGTCGCACCGTTTGGCATGTTTCCACGGCACGCAGCAAAACCAGATCCAGCAATACTGGCTCGATGGGAACGTTGGTGCTAATAGCCTTCCGTCATGCCAATGGCGCAGTGCACGCACATGTGCGCGTGCATATACATACCCCGCTGCACCACGAATCAGCGAGGTGCTTTGCTACCGCTTTACGGATTTCCTTCATCTCCACTTGCTCCTCGCTTCATCTACATTGTGCCCAATCCTTGGCGTCGGGACGCGCGGATGGAATATCCCCGGGATGTAGGCCGCAGTTCGTGGCCACTGGTTCGCCAGGTGCAATTCCATTTCTTTTCCAAAATACAAGCGCATTATTGCGTACTTTGAGTGAGAGCCAGCCGTGTCGCAAGCTCATTTTAGGCATTGTCAAACCGATTGTGCCCGTGAGTTTGAAGTACACAGTTACAAGTTCCAGTCAATCCGTTGAGTAGTGTGGATTTGGCAGCACGGGGAGGGCAATGATTTCCAGCATCGTCAGCGCTGGACGGCGGTTTTCTAAGATGACCATTCAAACATGATGGAGCGTGTATTCCATGATACGTGCTGGTCGTAGTCCTTCACTGCGATGGCGGTAGTGACTTGGCTTGCCATTCGTACACTAGAAGAAAACAACAAGCCTGCGATGCCATTTTGACACGAAATTGATGCCATCCACTAGGAAAAAAGGGCCAAATAACACGTGTTCAAATGTGTTATAGCTGGGCGAAACGTGTTCAAAATGTGCTCAGAATGTGTTGAAAATTGCCAAAAAGTGTTATTGGGAACACGTTCAGGAACTGCAACACGTGTTGTGCAAATATGCTCATGGA